CGCACCCACACCGTCACAGAGGTCTCCTCCGACAGTACAATCATAGGAACAGTACAATCGTAGAAGTCGTGTGTCCCTGTGCAGGGGGGAGGAGGGGAGGTAAAAGTTACTTTGCGTGGAAAGTTTAACGTTCCTGAACAAAGGAAGGTGTCAAATAGTACTTAATAGCATATATGTATTATATATCGATGTTAATTTTAAAACTATGATTGTTAATAACTTTTTAACGAAGGGCGAGCGACGGCTAAAACTTGCTGGAGGTTACTCAGGGTCATGACCTTGACAACATACGTCAAGGTCAAGGTCATCGGAGGGTGGTCCGTTATAATGCATAATTACCACGAAAACTAACCTCAAAACTAACATTATAAATTCCGTATATTAATACTATACTCACAAATAATTAAACTTACAAGTGATATGAAGACGCCTGATTTTCTTTTTTGCAAATATAGCAATACATTGCCACAAATCACTTATAATTTTTACTCATAGAATCAAACAGAACCAAACACAGTTCGCAAATAATTAAACGTGCTTTCTAGCATCCACGGTGGATAATCCACCGCGCACGCGTATGGAGTATGCGCATTACAATCTACGATCTTAATCTCTCCATCCTTGTCAATCTTCTCGGCTTCAATCGAATGTACAGGGACCATACCATATGCCTATGCTCCTTCCAATACTATATGTTCTAAGGCCTCTCCTCTTCCAAATAAAGAATCTGGTGCACGAGACAACCATCCTTACAAAAAAATTAAACTACTGTTAATAGATAAATTCAATCTAACCTGACTTCCAAACTAATAATAAATAATTAAAAAAACGTTCGCTACAACACACACACACACACACACACACACACACACACGCACGCACGCACGCACGCACGCACCGTAGAATATATAATTTACCTTTGAAATTGTTTTCCTTCTCCCATTCTTCGCGATAATGCTTAACATATTTGCCATATTTACCCATTTTTAATTCAATAAAAAATGTTAATGTTTTTTAGAAAACAGAAATGAATGACATGCACTGACTTGCACTGTGTTGAATAGATACGTCTGTTTCGCTTCAATTTAATGCACCGTCTGCACCAGTTCAGACAGTGCAGGAAAAAAGAACATACCTATTGTTTTAACGGTTTGAACCATATATGTAATACTACTATATGGCTAGTGCCTATAAGAGGGAGTGAGAGGAAGCGGTCCCAGAACCACGGTGCGGGAATATATATTTCCCTCTCTTTCTAAGAGTACTTTGAGTGTTGTGCGCATGCGTTGGATTGATTGCATCCGCCAATAGGAAAATAGAGTGCGATCAGTGAGATGACGCGAACAGGTTATGCTCGTTATGCTTATTAGATGTGTGCTGTTGTACACAGGCAAAAATGGTCAAGATATGTTATTTATGTGGCAAAAAGCCTAATGCGCCTAATGCGACTGAAAACATTAGTTTGCATAGGTATGAAATAGGTATTAGTTTGCACTGATTATCATGAAATTTCTGTAAGGGATTGCACTGTATTCTTATATACATAACGGCAATCTTGAAAAAGTTTATTTCATAAAATTAGGATTAATTTATTTATTCCGACTAAACTGACTCTGTTAACTGTAACAAGGTTATACCCTGAAGCGGAATCAATCACTTTTTCCTTCTTCCTTACACATATATGTATATTTATCCTTCTATTTATTATTGATGGAGGGGATGATCCGACGCATGCGCACAACGTTCAAAGTACGCTGAGAAAGAGAGAGAAGTATATTCCCGCACCGTGGTTCTGGGACATGGACTTCTCTCTCATCTAGCCATATAGTAGTATTACATATATGGTTTGAACAGTGTCGGATTGGATATTGATCATTCATAGTGCTTGATTAATGGAAAAAAAAACCCTAGGCGTCGGACGTTATAAGTGATTCGCCAAGTAGCCGAAAGTAGCCACATTGCATACAGAAAGTAGCCCAATCGGCTACCAATAGCCAATAACGAAAATTTAGTCGCCGCTTAGCTCGCGAAGTAGCCCAATCGGCTACAAGTAGCCCAATCTGGCAACACTGCGAACAATACTTAAATGTTCAAATGTGCAAATTAGGTTAGGACATTGCTAGAACAAATTAGAAAGAGAGAAAAGGTTATAAACAGAGAGCAGGGGGGTGATTGTGTATCTTAAAACCTAGTGAAAATCATAAAAGTGAGCTCTCACTTGATTGGTTAATTTTCATCATAGTGAGAATGCGATATTTTTCACGTGAGATTGTTCGGCAAGAAATTTCTTGTCGAATTGTGCCAAAGTGTGCCTAACCTGAATAGTCGTCAACTTTAACGCTTAATATCTCGGTTCGTAGGGCAGAGCGACATTTTTTTTTGCCAGATACTTTCGTTTCATGCAAAAACGCATCGATTGAGTATATTTTTATCAAAATTTAAGAGAAGCGGGTTCTTTATATTTACCGTGTGTCGAAATCAGACGAAATTGTTCGAACGAAATTTGTCTTATTTAATTCAATGGACATTTTTATGCTTCTTTGCATAGAGGAAAATGAAAATGACAATAATATTTGCAAAAGAAATTTAAATTTAATTAGAAGACGATTACGGGATACACAAGATCCATTCGATATCCCAAACAGTACATTTCAAAAGTTATATAGATAAAGTATATACCTAAATAATATTATGCTTTATATGTCATGAATTATACACATTAATGTGCGTAATTATTAATATGTGAAAAACATTAAAAACATTTGAAAAATGTATATTTAGTGTAGTTTTTAAACGTGTACGCTCACTTCTCGTACTTTCATGTCACATGAAAAAATACGCGCGATTGGCTATGATCGTAGTGAAAATACGATATCCCTATGCTCACGGGAGCTAAACGTGAAATATATTGCACATATGAATTAATATGAATTGATATGTGAATAAGAAATATAACCTCTTTATCTTCGCAGAGATTGACAGAGATATGTAAAAAGGTGTATATTAAAAAATATTTTGCAAACAATTATTGTGACCTGTGACAAAAATGAACATACCCAAGAAACAAAAAGAAATATTACTTTCCTTTATGCAAAGATATCGGCAGAGGACGTTTACGATACAACAGTAAAAATAAACAAAAATTAAATTAAATTAAATTTAAATTAAATAATAATTTTAATTAAATAATAATAATTTTAATAATAATTTTAATAATAATTTTAATAATAATTTAATTTTAATAATTATTTTAATAATAATTTTAATAATTATTTTAATAATAATTTTAATAATAATTTTAATTAATAATTTTAATTTAATTTCTTTTGCGAATATTATTGTCATTTTCATCTTCCTCTATGCAAAGAAGCATAAAAACGTCCATTGATATGCCTTAAATAAGACAAATTTCGAACAATTTCGACTGATTTCGACACACTTTGGCACAATTCGACAAGAAATTTCTTGCCGAACAATCTCACATGAAAAATATTGCATTCTTACTATGATGAAAATTAGCCAATCAAGTGAGAGCTCACTTTTATGATTTTTATTAGGTTTTAAGATACACAATCACCCCCAATTCATATTGATTCATATGCGCAATATATTTCACATTTAGCTCCCGTAAGCATAGGGATATCGTGTTTTCACTACGATCATAGCCAATCGCGCGTATTTTTTCATGTGACATGAAAGTACGAGAAGTGAGGAAAATCGACAAAGATACACAATTGACCCCCAGAAGTGAGATAGAATAGAGTGCCCTGATTGGTAACGCGTCTCGCTCGCGCATGTGCAGTTCATTTTTGGCTACGGTAACATCAAAGGTGCCGACGGAGAGTTGCGCTACTGTATATACTGTGACGTTGGACGTGTAAGAAACATAACCTCACGTGACTTAGAGAATAGAATCGTTCAGCAATAACCGCTCACTCAACGGTTGTCGCAACATGTTCGAAATAAATTGAGTTTGCTGAACGTAGCCATGACATAAGAAAACTCGTATCTATCATATAAATTAATATGAATGTTTAAAACATGCCTGGAGCCAAACGAAACGTTGTCGGTCGGACTGGGTCATTTGTTAGATCCAGTAACGTTAGTTCAGCCAATATCAATGGAAGAAGCAATAGTGGAGAAAGAGCAAGTACCAATGGTGCAGAAGACAAAAGGCTTGACGAAATTTATGGTGGAAGGTCTCTGGCACCAAAACACATTCCTATACCTGCGGTACCAGTCGACGGACAGTTGGGCTTTGAAGCGTTATCTTTTGTCGTTTCAATTATTGCAGCTTGTCTGCAATTGCTTAATCTATATAGAACTGTATGGTGGCTACCAAATTCTTATAATGGTTATACTATGGTATGTTATATTTATGTTTATCACACACACATACAAAAACTAAATTACACTATTATGCATGATACAAAGAAAATAGTTATAATATATTGGAGAAACAGAAGAATTGTGCTTCTGATATGTTTCAGAATTTTTATTTGATAGATCCTTATCTAGTTGTATTTATTTTTACTACGGCGGCATATAGATTCTTGTATATGTTATTGCGTCAGATCATTGATGTTTCATTGCCAATTCAATTGGTATCTGCGAAATTGACAATCCGAAACATTATAAGGTAAGGCATTATTGTATGTGATAATAACTTGTCAAATTTGTAGTAATACAGGTATAGATATTTTAATATTCATGTAACTCAATTTTAGATCATCTCTATTAGTTGTTGTTAAAAGCGTGTTGGGCTGGAGTCTGTATCATATGATTGAGAAGCACAATTCTATGAAAATTTTTTATTTATGTTATCCGTGAGTATCTATGATAATAAATATGTTTAAATATTAAATGATATATTATTGTTATATCATGCTATTGATAGAAAATTAATAATCTCAAAATTGAATCTTCTCAATAATTTTTTAAATTATATTTTAATCTAGAGAGATAATGAATATACAATTTGGTAATTGTTTAGAATCCCTTGTTCCCTACATCTAAAATCTTAATAAAAATACACTTATTCGATATATTTTCACTCAAAATGAAAGAATCTGACAAAAAAAGAAAGAAAACGGCGGTCAGCCTTGTGAACCGAGATATTAAGCGTTAAAATTGGAGCTTTTATGACGCTGAAACTGGCCGCCGCAGCCAGCCGCCGATCAGGGCCGAATAGGCGGCGCGCGCGGGCCACGGATGGAAATTCTTAAACACGTGCTTGGGAACCGTTTAAAACGTTGAAAAAATTAATTAAAGAACTCTAAACATAAAGTATGGGTTGAATAACGTATACTGCGATATTACACATATAAAAAATTATTTAATAATATGAATGTGGTGATTTTTCGACAAAAATACTAACAGCAATTACTTTGCACTTCATAAGGGAGTTCGAGTAAATTTTTTCCAATAGAGGAGATAACAAGCAATCAATCGATATCGATCAGAATAGAGGGACGGGCTTTTAAAAATTTTTAACGATTTTTTAACTTCGCGGACGGGCGAGGCGGGCACCATTTCTCGACAAAAGTATTAGCAGCGGTTTAACCTCGAGATAAAACGTTTATAAATTTCTGACTTTTTTAAGTTCAGTAATTGCATATTTTTGATCGTTATTTATTACATTTAAAAAAAAACGAGCAAAAATATACAGTTACTGAACGTAAAAAAGTCAGAAATTTATAAACATTTCATCTTGAGGTTAAACCGTTGCTAATACTTTTGTCGAAAAATGGTGCCCGCTTCGCCCGTCCGCGAAGTTAAAAAACCGTTAAAAATTTGATAAAAGCCCGTCCCTCTGTTCAGATCGATATCGATCGATTGTTTGTGATCTCCTCTATTGGAAAAAATTTACTCGAACTCTCTTACGAAGTGCAAAGGCACTGCTGTTAGCAATTTTGTCGAGAAACGACACCTGTTCGCGAAGGTAAAAACCGTTAAAAATTTGATAAAAGCCCGTCCCTCTGTTCTGACCGATATCGATCGATTGCTTGTAATCTCCTCTATTAACAAAAATTTGCTCGAGCTCCCTTACGAAGTGCAAAGGCACTGCTGTTAGCAATTTTGTCGAGAAACGACGCCTGCCTCGCCCGTCCGCGAAGTTAAAAAATCGCTAAAAATTTGATAAAAGCCCATCCCTCTGTTCTGATCGATATCGATCGATTGTTTGTGATCTCCTCTATTGGAGAAAATTTACTCGAACTCCCTTACGAAGTGCAAAGGCATTGCTGTTAGCAATTTTGTCGAAAAACGACACCCGTCCGCGAAGGTAAAAACCGTTAAAAATTTGATAAAAGCCCGTCCCTCTGTTCTGATCGATTTCGATCGATTGCTTGTAATCTCTTCTATTAAAAAAAATTTATTCGAACTCCCATACGAAGTGCAAAGGCACTGCTGTTAGCAATTTTATCGAGAAACGACGCCCGCCTCGCCCGTCCGCGAAGTTAAAAAATCGCTAAAAATTTGATAAAAGCCCGTCCCTCTGTTCTGATCCATATCGATTGATTGCTTGTGATCTCCTCTGTTGGAAAAAATTTACTCGAACTCCCTTATGAAGTGCCAAGTAATTGCTGTTAGTACTTTTGTCGAAAAATCACCACATATTATTAAATAATTTTTTATATGTGTAATATCGCAGTATACGTTATTCAACCTATACTTTATGTTTAGAGTTCTTTAACTAATTTTTTCAACGTTTTAAACGGTTCCCGAGCATGTGTTTAAGAATTTCCATCCGTGGCCCGCGCGCGCCGCCTATTCGGCCCTGATCGGCGGCTGGCTGCGGCGGCCAGTTTCAGCGTCATAGAGATTTTAAAAGTTAAGATATTTGTCATATCCTGATTTGCTGCAGCGCTTGTTTACGTAAGATTGTTCTTTTCCAAAAAATTCTGAACTAGTTCTTAAATAGTGCAATAAGCTAGAGTGAAACAAACTACAGCTGTCTCAGTTTAACTTATTGCAGATTACACCACTTATTGCACTCCTAAAAATAAATATTCTTTAATATTGTAAACTATTACAAAAATTTTTTTTTATTAATTAAAAAATCTTATTACCACTTGATTTAGACCGTTTTTTCTTTATACTTTGCAAAAAACGAGCAAATTAAATATTTTTTACTTTAATTACACAAATTCTTTTGACTTTACAAACACAAATTTATTGCTTTAAAAATTGATACGAATTCAATGTTTTAAAAACATAAAATCACTGCTTTAAAAGTAAAAAGATTCGCTGCTTTACAAACACAAATTCACTGTTAATGCAATGAATTTGTGTTTTTAAAGCAGTAAATTAAACATTAAAGCAATGGATTTATGTTTCTAAAATAGTGCTTTTGCATTTTTAAAGTAGTGTTTTTATGTTTTTAAAGCAGTAATTCTTCACTAATTAATAATAGCCAAGCGCTCATGGATCTGCTTTGTACAATTGGGTCGAGTTGAGTTTGCTGAATACGGCCATTTATGGCTGTTTCCACCAATTAGATTAACTTTAATCTCTACTTAACTTACTATTCATCTTTTTCTAATTTTTAGAACTAGAAAAAGACAAGGTAAATCTTCAGAATAACTACCTTACCTTCGATTTCGATGACATTAGGCTCATTTGACGCGTTTTTGCGTAAAATGAAGGAATCTGACAGAAAAATGTCTAGGAAACCTGCAAACAAGATATTAGGTGCGTTCTTTTAACACAGGTATCGGATACAGTAGTTCTTACAGTAATTCGTTCTTTTAACACAACTGCGCAGTTGATTGCAGCGCAGATTTTCGTTCTTTTGGCAATGAATACGCAGTAGATACGCAAACGATTAGAATTAGCTGCGCAGGCTATGTATCTGCGTGATCGTAAAAAAAAACGCCCGTTTGGCAAATCCGATGCCTAAAAGAATGCGCCCATTGAGGGAGCTGCGCAGAATAAAAGAAACAGAGAATAAGAATTTTAATCTATCCAGAAATCATGTACTGTGGAATACACACTGTTTATTCCACAGTATATGATTTCTGATAGATTGAAATTCTTATTCTTTGTTCCTTTTATTCTGCGTAGTTCCTTAAAGTTGATGACTATTGAGGTTAGGAAATCTGTTATATGGATAGTGGAGTGTATAAAATAGTGTTTATTGATTCGTGGCTATTCTATGAACAAAAAATTAATATATCCTACTTGGGACCTAACTGCCTAGAAGCTACAGCCTGGATAGTAAAAAAAAACCGTTCTAAAGAGTTGTTCTCACACCCATTGTCTTCATGAGTTAGAAATATTCTAAGCAGACACTTGGCTGCAACTACTAGGCGGTTAGGCCTCAAGCAGGTAGGATATATTCTTATTTTATTTTCTCTCTCTCTTGAGGCGGCTACAAACCAATAAGCATTAGTCTATACACCCTTGTCTACATGACAGATTAATGATTGTGTTATGTAGTAACAAACAAGACAGATTTTCTAACTTCCATAGTTGTTAACTTTAAAGCGGGGAGCACAGACTTTTGCATAACGCATAAACCATATACATAAAGAATTTGATTGGTCCACTGACTCATGCATAAGAAAATGGACCAATGAAATTCCTTATGCACATGCTTTATGCGTTATGCAAAAGTCTGTGCTCCCCGCTTAACGCTCAATATCTCGCTTTGGAGAGCAGTCCCAGATTTTTTCTGCCAGATTCTTTCATTTTACGCAAAAATGCGTTAATTCATTCTAATTTCATCGAAATCGGAGATGAAGTAGCTCTTCTGAAGAATTACCAAAGACGAAGAGCAAATTGAACCGAGATTAATCTACATTGATGGAAATGGACATTAATCGAATTGACAGATATATTAACTTCTAAAATCTCGAACTTTAAGGAAATACTAAAGCAACGGGAATGACCAACAATTACAATGAACCATTTTCTCCAAATTGGCTTTATAGATCATGAAATTTTTTCACACGATGAAAGCATAAATAAAAATGATATGGGTAATGCTAAATTTGATTAAAAAATTGGAGAAATAATGAAAAATTTACTTATTTCAGCTCTTACAGCTGTCACTTGAGGTTATAATTTACTTATTGTAGAAATTCTGTAGGTCATATATACCAAATGGTACCCTCGCGCCATGCGTATAACGTGCACAAATACTCCTAGGCTGTCCTAGGCTTGCGAAATTGTCATCTAAGGTCTAAAGGCCATCACACGTACAAAAATTTTAGTAGTAATCGTAAGGTCTTAAGCAAATCGGCCAATCACAGTTTAGCGTATTAAAATGTGAATCGTAATCTTGATTGTGATTGGTCGATTTACTTAAGACCTTACGATTACTACTAAAATTTTTGTATGTACGTGTGATGGCCTTAACAAAAAAGATATTCCAAAATATTTGTTTCACGTGTAATCATCGACATATAGAATAAACCGCTGATGGTAGTGATGGGGGTAGAAAGACGAGTAGAGTGAGAGGCAGAAATAATGGCCTGGTTTACATCGTGAAAGAATTGGTACGCGTATTAAATGTGTTTCATGCGTTTACGTCGCCATTTGTATCATTTGATACGCGTATCAGTTTAGTACGATACTCCTGCTTAATACGCTCGTACCAAAATAATCCGACAGCGTTTACATCGTGCGTACTAAATGTTTATAGTACGAATTTGATACGAATATAGTATGTACACCCACGGTAATTAATTCTGTCCCTCGGAAATTTTCACAAAATGAAAAGTGACCTCCTTTCTATATTAATTGTCACTATTCATGCACGATAAGGTTCAGTCGTAACGTTAATCGTGCATGAATAGTGACAATTAATATAGAAAGAAGGTCA